AAGGGTTCACCCCCCCCCTGAGGAGGTTCAGGCTCCGACTGTTCCTTGGGGCTGGCGTCGACAGCAGCTGGACTCTCTTCTGCTGGCTCGTTGAGCTGCTGCTGGGCGGAAGAAGCCTGCTCCTCCTCCTCTTCCTCCTCCTCCTCCTCCTGCGCCACAAGATGAGCAAGACGGGAAGCGAAGGGTACATCAGATCCTACCTTGCTCGAGACCTCGTTCATGGCGATGGCGTGATGGATGACTGCAAGTTCATGCTGGAGAGAAAGTCAGCAGTGATGATGACGATGATGATGATGATCATGATGATGGGGAGGAGGAGGAATATGGAAACGATGACGATGATGATGATGATGATGATGATGATGAGCAGGAGGAAGCACTCTAGACCTTAGTACGTACAGCCTTGAGCTCTTCGTCAGTGACGACAGGAAGATCTTTGATGGACTGCAGCTGCACATGCAGAGATCAGAAGCAGTTCGCGACCATTGTCGTCCAATTTCCGGCCTCCCCCGCCCGCCCCCCCGGCCCCCCTCTGCTCCTTCTCCTTCCTGTTCCTCCTCCTGTTCCTCCTCCTCTCTTCGTCGTCCTCTTGCCTCTCCCGCTGCTCGAACCGACCTCTTCCGGCGTGATGATATCTTCCTCCGATGGCTGGATGGAGGGCTTAGCTTCGCTCTGGGAGAGCAGGCTTCACATGTCCCGTCCTATCTCCTCCCCCTGACTTACCTCCTTCGCAGTATCCGCCTGCTGCTCCGAAATCATCTCGGACAGGCGGAGGGCTTCAGAGAGCTCGGGATCTTCCTCCTGGAGTGAGAGTATGAGAGGGGAGGACGAGTAGGAGCATGAGGGGGGAGGACGAGTAGGAGCAAGAGGGGGGAAGGACGAGTAGGAGTATGAGAGGGGAGGACGAGTAGGAGCAAGAGGGGGGAAGGACGAGTAGGAGTATGAGAGGGTAGGACAAGCTGCATGCTGCTGCTGTTGGTACCTTGAACGTCATCTTGGACAGCCGGATCGCTTCTCTCAACTGCATCTCCTCATCGAAGTCCTCGTCCTCCTCGTCTTCTCCCTCACCCGGAGGGAGCGGGAGATCCGCTAAGTCTCCCTCAGGCAGAGCTTCGCACATGCCGGCGGTGAACTGCATGTTCCTGAGCTGCTCGATCGCCTGCAGTTGGAACTCATAGTTCCTCTTCGCCATCATCTTCTTGAAACTCTGAGGTTCACAACCGTTATTCCCCACCTCCCTTTCCCCTCTCCCTCCCTCATCTCCCTTCCTCCCTCATCTCTCCCTTCCTCTCGTCCCTCCGCTTCCTCCTTCCTCTTTCCCTACCTCTCGTCCCTTCGCTTCCTCCTTCCTCTCTCCTTCCGTGTTCTCCCCCTCCTCCCTCCCTCCCATTCTTCCCCTCCACTCCCACCTGAAAGTCGTCCGCTGCCATGATACTGTGGTAGACGAACGCGTTTTCCCCCCTTTGAAGCTCCTTGCTACAAGTCTTTGCGAACTCCTCCGTTGACAGCCCGATCTCTACAAGGAATTTCTCCAGCAAACTGCACAAACTCAACATCAACAAGGGCAAGACGTAAATGATTGTGGGTTGAAATATCTCACCCAAACACAAGCTCAACAAACTCCTCATGGATCTTCGTGAATTCCAGCTTGTTCTCTTCGTCATCATCAAACACAACTAGACAAGACAAGTAGAGATCAGCGAGGTCACAGGACAACCAAGAGGATCGCTCACTGCACTTCTCATCAATGTAGTTCATGATTGGCGTTTTGTATTCGGGGCTCCGCATGAACTAGTTCTCATCAGCAAACAACATGTACAACAAGACAACCACAACCTGATCCACAGCCTCCAGCTGCCAGTTGTTCGATTCGCTCATCCTGCCTCAACCCCTGTGAACAGAGATCAGAGGGGATCCGCTGCTGTTGGAGCCGACAGATCAGCTGCGATCATTGTTTGCTGAACCATGTTGTTTCTCACTTTCTGATGTAACGTTGGTGCTCTCCTTCAACTATCACTTGCTCATTCTAGTTCACATCAAGACCAGCCCAGCTCCAGAGCTCTTTCCACCGCTCCTTGTCTTTGTGCTTCCTCTCCCCTCCACGTCTGTTCTTGCGCACTCAACATCCATTGGATGAGCTCTCACGAATGGGTCAAACTGATCATGGTCTCACTATCTGACCACCTCATCACCTCCGTTTCATCTCGTTTGAAATTAGATCATGTTCTACATTACAACTTCATGTCCTTATCGCTCGCCATTTTCCACCAATTCAGTCGAGCTCACTGAAATCCCCTGTGTTTCCCTTTTCTATTTGCATTCCTCCTCTCTTCTTTGACACCCTCACCTTCGTCTATCTCCCCTCTCTTCCCTTCCGCTCTTTGTTTCCCTCCTCCACTGCTTCCTTTACTCCTTCATCTGTTCTCTCTCTCTCTCTCCCTCTCCTCTCCTCTCCCGTGTCGTCTACAACTCTCCTTCCCCTCTCTCCCCTCCTCTTCCTCCTCCCTCCCGTCCCTTACCCCCTCCCTCTCCTCCTTCTCTCCTTCCCACTACATCTTCAAGCGCTCACCTTCCAAGGACATACCACCCTACCCCCTATTTACCATCACAAAGACCCATTTAAGTGGGTGGGGTAGTAATTTTCCTTGTGGAACCTTCTGCTACTTTCGAAACCCCAATGTGGAACCACGTATGTTGGCAGACCGGTTCTGACCTCCTTCTGGTCAGAGGGGGGAGGAGGGACTTATTTTCATGGGGTACATGTTTACGGCAAGGTTGGTGAAAAATGAGGGTAGGGTACTTGAAGTACCCCTGGTCTTGCGTGTGGAAGGGGTACTTGAAACACTATTTTCGAGGCAAATGGATGGGTATATTGTCGAACTTCTACACACAAGGGGTACTATGTGTCAAATCAGAGGGTGGGGGTACTCTGTAAGGGATTGCAGGGATGGGGAATACCATGTGAAACAGGGCGCAAGGGAGGGAGGGAGGGAGGGAGGAAGAGAGGGAGGGAGGAAGGGATGAAGGGAGGGAGGAGGAGAGATGAAAGGAAAGGAAGAGGAGGAAGGAGAGTTAGGGTAAGTCGACAGGTAATGATGAAGGGAGTAAGAGAGAGGGAAAGAGCCAAGGCTGGCAGGTGGTCATCATAGATACAAAATCGATCCCATGAAATTCTCTTCCTGCATCCGCATTGCCTTACCTATCACGAGTCTTCATGCAGAGGTAGAAGTATAGAGGCAGGAAGATGAATTTTCGACTCAGAAGGCGTGATGGGGACGACAACGGTCTGAAAACGTCATTTACAACAGGCATTTCTGCAGATTACAAGATGTCGAACGGAAGATGGCTACTGTCTATGTTCTTCATGCTGACAGCCATCAGTCATGCTTGTGATGAATCTCTTGATCTAAATGACATGTAGTAACGGGTTACTTTGCACAGGCGCGTTCTTGCAGCAGCACGGCAGAGCATGCAGACTATCCTCTTCAGCGTCTTGGAAGGCTGTATGCGTCGACCCACCGCCCAAGGGAACGTGAGCATGCTTGTTTTGCCGCAGCATGCTGGAAGAGACTTGTGTCCTGTCAACATGTCTGATCGGATGTTTGATGACAACCCAGCACCTCGGTCTTCCCTCTTGACATGTCACTCAACTTCACATCGAGTAGACACATCTTACACATGCATGTCGATCATGTTCAATCAAGCTCACACGCCATGTTTCCTCTGGCTCATCGCTCCTTGCAGCATATGGCAGGTCTTCCCTGAGGGTACTCCGGACATTGCTCCCTCGACAGCCACCGGCGCCATCGGAATGTGGTCAGCACATTCTGCCGTCTTCGACCTTCGGCTGGGTACGCCCTCCCCTCTCCCTCTTACCCTCCTCACCCCGGCGTCAGGATCGGGCAAGCAGGTGCAGGCAGAGGAGGTTATGAGCGTACCCGGGGCGATGCTGCTGCACGATGTGCGAGAGTGTCGTTGGGAGGAGAAGGAGATGACGGAGGGAAAGGTGTTGAGCAGGGAGGAGTGCGCAAAGGCGATCATCCTGTCAGAGGCCATGGGCTACCAGGAGCATGACCTGCTCAAGGTCTTTCGCTCTTGTGCCTAGATCGCTGCCCTGTAACTTCTCCTGCTGCTGCTGCTGCTGCTGCTGCTCTTCCTCCTCCTTCTCGTCCTCCTCTTACTCCTGCTCCCCTCCTGCTCCTGCTCCTGCTCCTGCTCCTGCTCCTGCTCCTGCTCCTTCTGCTGCTGCTGCTGCTGCTGCTCCGTCCATTGCAACCAGCTCCTACACCTTCCGCCCTTGCTCTTTTCTGTCGCTTGACGAGGGCTGAGCACAGAACACTCATGCTGCCGTCACGTGGGTCGCAGACCTCGAGAACGTGATCAGACCTCTCTTCCTCCGATGCAAGCCCTTCCTTCCCTCTGTACGCCTGTGAAGCTCCTCCTCCTCTCCCCACCGACGTCGCTGCAGATTCTCGACAACCTGAGAGGAGGAGCTGCGAGGCAGCTGCGAGGGCTGAACGCTCGGCTGCGGTGCTACCGCTACCAGCCTGACGGACATCAGGTGGGGGAGGCGAAAGGAGGGAGTGAGGGAGTTAGGAGGGGGGAGAGGGAGGGAGGGAGGGAGCATGATAGCAAGACAGACGTTCCGCCTCCACCGCGACGACTCGTTTCCAATGTCGTCGCTTGACCGACACCATGGCGACCGGTGCTGCTGCTGCTGCTGCTGCTGCTGCTGCTGCTGCTGCTGCTGCTGCCTTCTCATCATTCTCTTCCTTCTCCTGACATCGCTCTGCAGGGCTCTTATGGAACGTGAGCGGGGGATCCGAGAGTTCCGTCCTCACCTTCCTCCTGTCCCAACGATCTGCTGCCCGCTCCCTCCCGGCTGACGTAGCATGCAGGTACCTCTCGGACGACTTCGAGGGGAGGTCATACTTCCTTCGTTCCTCGCCACAAGGAGCAGCAGCTTCCTGTCGTCGACGGCGTCTTGCATGGGCGGAAGAAGGACACAAGCTTGTCGCCGTGAAGCCTCGAGCTGGATCCGTGCTGGTCTTCTACCAGACCTGCAGGTCAGGGAGGACATGTCCCTTGCTCACCTGACGTGAACCTGTCAGCCTTGAC